ATTGACTAAACAACAAAGGAAACTATTGACATTAATTTCTATACACAGGAAAGGCAACAATTCAAGATATCCTTGATTCACTCTAACGGCCTCAAACCGCCACCCTCGTGCTTTCTCCTTCCATGTAGTGATAGTTATTGCTGTTGTGCCCTGGAGAGTGAAGAAGAACAATCAGCGATGGAGTCTCAGCTCGATTAATCTTAGGGAATTCCTGTTCAAGTCAATTGTACTGTGGTGTGTATTTACAACACACAACCTCATTTTGTTTCTGCAGAGATGGAAGGCTAAAAAATTATCAGATCAAGAATACAATGACATTCAGAGGGGTCTTATGCCATATGCTAAGTAAGAAGCAAGGACAATAATGAAGGCAGTTGCGCTCTTGATGGAATACCAAAGCGGAGATGTGCTTTGCGATGCCCTGTATCTTCACCCTGCAAAAAAATATGAATTTAAGGCCATCGTCGTCACAATTAAAACTCGAAACCAGGATTAGTTTTGAGCTGGTCTAATGAATTAGTTTCGCGAACTAAGTATGTCAAATCGAGTTATTGAATGGCAAGCCACTGAATTTAAGATGGTCATACGATCTCTAGAGAAAAGACAAGTTCTTGATTGCCAGCAGTCCAAATCCATGGATGAAATGCAGTGCTCTTTCCAACACAGCCATGAATCCCACCTCAAACTGTCATGGAAAGGATATTAGTCTGCATAAGAAAGAAAGATCCCTTTCGGATTGGACATGCAATGTTCCAATGTGCTATCAGAAACGAATGTTTGTCTCAAATCAGCCGCAGAAAAAGAAGTCCCATGTTGTGAGTATCATCATATGCCGCAAGTAAATGGAGATAGAAATTAACATTACTGATGCTTTTTTTTTTTTTTTTGTCTACGAAAGAGTTAGAGTGGCAGTTATGAGTTGTGACTGTGAATTATTTCACTATCATGTGGGCATGGTCTGATAATAATTATTTAAAAAAAAATTATAGAGATATATTAAAATAATATGTTTTTTTATTTTTAAAAATTAAATAATTAATTTAAATAAATAAAATCTAAATTTTAACTAATTTATATTTAGACAGGAATCCCAAACAGTAGCCTTTTCTTTCAATTTAAACTAGTATTATATAACTCATCTTAGTTTAATCGGTTAATTCTTTCATCAATTAAAAAGGTTTAGATTGAGTTTTAAATTAAATTGATTTTTTTTTATCAAAACACTTCCATTTTCATTTGTTTAGAAAAGGATTAACTAGTGCTGATCCGATCTGTGAGTTAATCTGTTCAATCCAAAGCCCGGATCTTAGACAGGGTCAACCCGTCTTCGAACTATTAAACCAGCAAAAAAAGAAAAAAGAAAAAATATTAAACCGTTGCTCTCTCTCTCTCTGATTGGATATCTCTTTCGCTTTCTATCTACAAAGGGTAAGCATTTGTATCCTCCCAAATCTCTCTCCATTTACAAAATACGCATTACTTAATTTCTCTTGCCTTTTTTGTTTTTTTTTACAAAATCAGATCTGTTAATTCAACCAGTGATTTGTGTTTTCCAGGTCAAGATCTAATCTCATATAATTAATTTAGTTGATGTTGTTCTTTCTTATGCAAAGTAATTTTAATTTTAGCTAGGGTTTCTACTTCACCAAATCAGATCGATTGTTTTTTTTTTTTCAGGCGATGGGAGAGAATGTGGGCAAGGGGAATGAGATGAAAATGATGTTTGATGATGAAGATTTTGGAGAGAGTCAGCAGCAGCTGCAGAAGATTGATCCTAGAAAAGCTCGGTTTCCGCATTGCATTGTGTGGACACCGCTTCCTGTCATATCATGGTTGATTCCCTTCATTGGCCATGTTGGTATCTGTAGAGAGGATGGAGTTATTCTGGATTTCGCTGGCCCTAATTTTGTTTGCGTTGATAATTTCACCTTCGGAGCTGTTGCTCGCTACATCCAGATCAACAAAGATAAGGTATAATTCTTGTTTATTGACCAATTACTTGCATTAATTTGGTGTTTTTAGCTCTGATTAATTTAAGCTGGAGGATATATTGTACAAAGATATGAATTGTTTGTGTTTAAGTGGATGATTACTTGTTTTTTTGAGCTCTTTTATGTAGTTAATAATCGTTGTGGGAAATTTTGGCAGGACTGTTCCATGTCTCTCCTTCCTACTGTATTCAACAATGGGGATCAATACGAGGATGAACCTGGTACAGATGCGTTGGCGTGGGATGATGCTATACGAAAGGGCACACAGGAATTCCAACATCACTCCTACAGCCTGTTCACTTGCAATTGCCACTCATTTGTTGCCAACAATTTGAACCGATTGGGGTTTCATTCTGGTGGGTGGAATGTGGTGAACCTTGCTGCTTTGATTTTCCTCAAGGGTCGTTGGGTGAGTACTGGAGCTATGGTGCGATCTTACTTGCCATTTGTTGTTGTATGTGGTTTTGGGCTCATATTTGGTGGTATGACCTTTATAACATTTTTGGCCTTCTTTACTTTCCTCCTTGTTGGTTGGTTTCTTCTTGGTACCTATTGTTTCAAGGATTTGATCCAGTTGTAGATTTTATTTTATTTTTTTGTTATTTGATCTTCTTCGTTTATTAGAACCCTAGTTCAGCAAACTTGAGTTGATTAATGTGTATACGTAATTGAAATTGTGAAAATATTATATGAAACCCAGCCAGATGTATTGAAGGTTTTGATAGTTCAATGCTTCTTTGGTACTATTTCCACTCTTGGTAGTCACGGATCTTCTTCTCCTTTGTCTAGAAAACAAGACTCTACTGCTTTCATGTGTAGTGAATCAACAAGTGATAATGAATGATTGCTTGTCTTGGTGGCTCTGGATTTGTTGAACTGACAAAGTCAGCTATTCAAAATTCTTATTTTGTGTTTGATGACAAGCTTTAACATACCCCTTCTCTTCTTGATAGCTAGTGAATGATTGCTTGTCCAGGTCGCTCTGGATTTGTTGAACTGATAAGTCAACTTGATGGCTATTCAAAATTCTTATTTTGTGTTTGATGATAAGCTTTAACGTACCCCTTTTCTTCTTGATAGCTAGTGAATGATTGCTTGTCTAGGTCGCTCTGGATTTGTTGAACTGACAAGCTAACTTGATGGCTATTCAAAATTCTTATTTTGTGTTTGATGATAAACTTTAAACATACCCCCTTCTCTTCATGATAGCTAGTCCACTTTCTTATTTTGTGTGCTTCAGAAATGTAGCAACCACTCCTCTTGTATCCACATAGTTTCATAGTAGGGGGGAATGTATTTCTCTTCCATCAGCTTTTTAGCATGAGCTTTCGAAATTGCTTCATATTCATAGCACACCCGTGTTATATTCTGTTGTTGAAAGAGCTGAAAGTAGATGCAGAGAACTTGTTAGGCCAATTAAAAGCAAAAGATGTAAAAAAAAACAAAAATGTTATCAGCAGGTAGATGTTAACACTGTCGTTGTCTTGGTTGCCTTTCCTTGGTTGCTGAGGTTTCAAGGACCAAGTTTGGTCCGCCATATCAATCGACCTTTCTGTCATGGGTCAATCGTGAGGCCAATTAGAGAAATTTGTGATGGAAATATCATGATTACATTTATTATATTAGTGAAAAGAAGACCTTGGATGGTGTCCTAGAACAAGAACACGAGGGATTGAAATGTGCTTGGATGTTGTGGGAAAGACGATAAATCTGAGAAACATGTTCTTGGATAGGGAACATATCTTCTCCATCTTAATTTTCTTCATCTTTAGAGTAACCTAAATTACTGAATAATTTTTAGGTGCGATTTCTTCAAATGGACAAGAACCAGCACTTGAATAATGTGAGAGAATCACGCATCACAATCTTTACAAGGCAAAATTCACGAGAGAAATTTATGGCGAGGAACATAAATATGGATCCACCTACCTATAACAATGAATATCGTTGTCTTTACTGGCAAAGCATTTTTCTTATACTGTTTATCTGTTTATAGATTTAAAAACTTTTTTGAAAAAAAATATTTTTTTTTTATTAATTTTAGATATTTTGATTGTTAATGTTAAAAAATCCTTGTGACAATTTGACGTGTCATTGGCTGCATTAGGCTACTGATATAGGATAAAAAGTACAAAAAATAAAAAATAAAAACGGTTTAGTAAAAAATATAAAATAAATTTGTATAATACATGTATGTATCATCTCGTTGTCTTAATCGTATCTTTTCTAAAATAGCAACCAAATACTATATTTAAATATATAATCAATCTATTTGACTTTCTCCCTTTGTTTTTATTTTATTTTATTTTATTGCCAAATCATTTGACTTTCTCTTTTGTTTTTTTATTTTATTTTATTTTATTATCAATATCATTTGACTTTCTCTCTTTGTTTTTTTATTTTATTACCCATATCATCCCAAAAACAGATTCCCTTTTATTCTCTACTCTACCTCCCAAATAAGCAAGAAAAGATTTCCTCAAGAAAATCGTAAATAATAGACCTTCGGTGTTTATTGTTTTAGGTTCGACCCAAGAAATTTTTTTTAAATACATTAAATAAATACTTTTTAATTAAAAATATTTTTACAAAACATATTTTACACTGTATTACCACCATGCATCAATAACAAATCAAACCAACCAAAATTGAATTTAATTGGAAAGTAAATAAACAGAATTTATGATTAAGAAAAACAATATAATATCATCCGAAAGAATTAATCAATTGGCATTTAACACCAGCCAAGATTACGTATGACGTCAGAAACATTAAATCAAACCCCTATTAGCCGTCAAATTAGATTTATTTTCGTAATTTAACAAATCCAACGGCCACAAATTAATCAAGATCAAAACAAATCCTCTTAAACACCCTCAAATTAGTGAGTTATCTTTCCACGTTGCATGAATTTCTCTTAATCCTTATCAAAATGGCAAACATGTAATATAACTAAAAGGAAGCCCTCTTTTCAACCGCTTCTGTGTATTTAAAGCAACGTAAGAAAAAGAGAAATAACAGGGGCAAAACTAAGGCAAAGAAAGCGTAATCTCTCAGTCTGTTGCCTTTGAAAGTCTGTAGAGAGTTCGAGAAATGGCAGCTGAAGATGGACAAGTGATCGGGTGCCACACTGTTGAGGCGTGGGACGAGCAGTTGCAGAGAGGAAATGAATCTAAGAAGCTGGTATTGTTTTTTGCGTTCTTTTTTGTATTTTAGGGGGTTGATTTGTGATGTGATTTTGATTACCGTTCTTGTAATTCATGTTACTGGGTTTTTTTCTTGTGTGTCTTCTTATTGGGATTTCGTTGGTTCTGATATGATATAAAATAGATTTGCTCTGTTTTGGCCTCTGTTTATACTATGTTTACAGTTTGTGCTTAGATTGGATTTGATTGATTCATTGTTTGTGATTTGGTAATTCGGCTTTGATCTCTTACTGGGGTTTGCATATGTTTTCTTTTACATAAAGAAAAGGGCTATAATCGACGTAGCTTGGGCGAGGACAAGGTCTTTTGAGAGATAATGAAGTTTATTTTTTGGAGCAAAAACATACTTCCTTTGAATTGAAAATGATTTTGTGTTTTTTGATTGGTGGTTTTTTTTTATAGTTACATGTGATTTTCTTTGTTGGGTTCTGATTTTCGGCAACCTTGGAAAACTATTTGTCTAAGATGGGCTCCACTAGTGGACTGGCTGTCTTTACTCTTTAGGGACCAAAGCATTGAAGGCTCTTAATCTTGGATGATGAGTGGTTGCTGGTGGGGTCTCCTGGGATTAGATTGGTTTTTCTACTAGTGGAATGTTTGAATGAGTATTTTTATCTGTCAAGAATAAAACAAAGATGCGCTTGTTTATGTTTCTATGAGAGAGACGTTATTGTGTTTTCCTTAAACAAAGTGGCTTGCTTAATTCACAAAGTATTTTGATAATTAACTTATCAAGCTTTTTTGGCCAAGTTTTTCCTTTTGTAGAGAGAGTAACAATATGTCTATTTGGCTTGTGTTTCTACTGCATAGATTTAGCTCTGTGGTTGATGCAGGTGGTGATTGATTTCGCTGCTTCATGGTGTGGTCCGTGCCGTGTCATTGCTCCTTTCCTGGCTGAGCTGGCTAGGAAACTTCCCGATGTTATCTTCCTTAAGGTTGATGTTGATGAATTGAAGGTAATTTTAATCAAATCATTGTGTTCAGTTTCTGATGCTGAAGTTGTGAGGTTAGGATTTGATGGGTGGATTTTTTTTATTTTTTATTTTTTTTGCAGACTGTCGCTCAGGATTGGGCTGTGGAGGCAATGCCAACTTTCATGTTCCTGAAAGAGGGGAAGATTGTGGACAAAGTTGTGGGAGCAAGGAAGGATGAACTGCAGCAGGCTATAGCAAAGCACACAGCTCCTGCTGCTGCTACTGCTTCTGCTTGAAGCTGATGAATTTGGTTATCGTTTTTTGATATATGCTATTAGAAATATGGATTCTGAAGCTTGGTTTTTATCTTTTGCTTGAATGGTGAACTATCAATGGTTTTTGCTATGGCATGAATCCATGTGTTCAACCGATGCTTGTTTTATGAAATATAATCTTTTACAGTTATCCCAGTTGCATTTAAGTGCAGCTGCTCAACTCTCATTGCCATGAACATTTATTTCTGGATTTCTTTTTGGCAGTTCACTAGATTCATGAGATCCAATTTATGTGGGGAGGACTTGGGAACATCATGAGTGGTGTTGTTGGGTATGATGCCACATTACAGTTGGCTCCTGGAGATGTGATCTTTGAAATCAATTGTAGATAGAATGTCCTCAAGGTTTCCTTAAAATGCTCAATGCCCTTTTGATTTTAATCCCCCAACCAAAAAGAGAATAAACGAGAAAGCTAAAGGAAGAAGAATAGCTTTCTACAGTATGGAACTGCTTTGAGCACAGGAAATTTGAGTTGGGTAGGCAAAGCAGTAACCTTTTGTTTCGTTTATGGTAGATTCTTACGGGCCAACTCTAGAAACGCCGACAACTCACTCGCTACATAACTCCAAATCAAATATTCCATTCTGCTTCAATCTGCATTCTGTGCTGCAATTTTTCCACAGTAGCACTTGACCTTTAGTAGTTTCTGAAGAAAGAGGCTGTCCATGAGTGAGGAACTGCAGAATGTGTTTTGCAATAGAGTGAGAAGTACCTATTTCTTTCCTTGCCGATGCCGTGGATTTCTTGTTATCATTTGAGAGGTTGGAGTTTTAGGAGACTTGAAAGGCCACCTGATGATGCTTGGTACTGAAAAGGAAACTCTTAAAATTGAGAGAGTTTATCTGGGGTGTGATTGAGAATAGTTAAGTGTTTGGAATGGTGAATCCATTAGCCTGTGGTGAGATTGCAAGCATTTCTAGTCGGAGGTTATCATGAGCAAATCATCACAGAAACTGGTATCTCTTATGCTAGGGTAGCTGAAATTATTAAAAATTGGGATAGGTTCTGTTCCAGTCGTAGATCAAATGCAATGGTGGAAATTCAAGGAACCATATGTGGTACCATGTTTCTTGATCCTCGGAACTGTGACATGGCAGCGTGGAAGTCTAGTCCTGACAGGAATTTTTCTACAAAAAGTGCTTGGGACTATACTAGGAAGAAAGATGCAAGAATTAAGTGGCATAACTGTTTCAAGGAACTCCAGACATCCCCTGACAGTTTTATTGTATGGATTGTGGTACACAACAGGCTCTCTCCGCAAGGGTTTTGGCAAATTCTTATTTTGGCTCTGCTGATGAAGATAGAGACTCACTTTTTTTTTGCCTCCCTTTATTCCTCGGAAGCTTTGGCAAAATAGGGTTGCAGATTTGCGGGGTTTCCTTTTCCAGGGTTGTTCGAGGATGGTTGTTTGAGATTGGTTGGGCCAAAAAGAAACTTTAAGGTTATCCTAACTCGCATATGGTTTGTCAGATTGTAAAATATAATTCACGAATTGGGAGAGGCTTTATTGAAGCCAAAATCCTCTGATTCTTGCAGCAAGCGATATTTTGACAGCTTGCAATAGGGATCATCTTCCAGTTGCATTGATCAGTGAAAATTTATTATTTCATTAAGAACAAAAAGGGAGAGACCCATTGTTCAAATGCAAAGATTAGTTCCATAAGCCCCAAGTTTCGGGAAAACACGGTTGCACCTGCCACTTCTTCGCTTGCTTTGACTGAGTTTTGAACACTCCACAGACCTCAAATGATGGCCAGAATTTGAAGGGGAGCCAAATGATGCCCATAGGGAAGGGGAGCCAAAGAAACTGAGTATAGAGTAGCATCCTGAGGAAACCAACTATAGAGTAGCATAAAATTCTGGCCAAGTGTAATGAAATTGAGCCGGCAGAATGATCTTTCAAATTCAAGGAGGAACTACACAAACAATGGTCATACTAGGATCCGCTCCCAACATGAAAACATACCTGGGGTTTGATTTTTCCCCGCTTAATACAAACACAAGATAAATCACACCACTAGAAACACTTCCTTCTCCCAGTGCCCTCAACCACTTAAAAAGGTGGAGGACTGGGGCTTGAAATTCACCATAGGCCTCAAATTGCAGTGCCTGGGAATTTTCAAACTCACCTATCTAAGGATTGACTAATTTACAGTAGTTCATAAACCAAATTAAATTACGCACTAATTTGCCTTGAGCAACAAACACCCTTGCCACAGCCTCCCAGTTTGAAAGACTGCAGCATCTTACCTATCCAACTAAACAACCTCTTGCTGTACTCGTAGTGTCTCGTACTATTGTTCTTCCTTGCTTTTCTTGCAGGTAATGTGTTGTTAAATTATTAGTTGCAGTATAAATAAGGGACCTTGTTCTTCACGTAATTAACCCCTCCAATTGGTAGGGGCACAAACAGCTTCGACTGACAACTTCTTCATTACATTTGGGCATGGATCTTGGCCAAAGTTACTGTTGGATATGGTAACGGCACATCTCTGCTTCCCTATACATTTCTGTGAAAAAAGAAACGAGCACGATGAAAAAAATTAATTAAGCAAGGATGCTAAGAGATTATAAAACAAGAGTAATGTTGCATACCTTCTCTAGGATGGCATAAGAGGTAGAAGCATGGCAAGCTCCTTGCTGATAACTTCCACAAGTTCCTAAAGGAGTTCCAAAGCTTGCAAATTTTATGGAAGTGATGGATTGGCCTACACTACACCGAAGGTGAACCTTGGGGTTGTGGAACTCTTCAGCTCTACCATAGCTTTCAATTTGCCAGTTCTTAATAGTTGGGTGGAATTCAGAGACCTCAGCACAAACACTGGCCAGTGATCTCTTCACAAGAGAAATTCTTGAAGGATCCCCTCCAAGTTCCTCAAAAACAACCAAGAGATTATTGGTTGGCTTCAACCAAGACCGAGGAACATGGTACCTGGAAAATGAAGCTTGTCAGAGACAATAAACAGGATGTTTTTCTTTTTCTTTTCTTTTCTTTTTTTTTTTTTTTGGGGGGGGGGGGTTGTTGGGCTTAGGTTTTTTGAGTTCTATGAATATTTCAGCATGTCTCCGTAGTAGAAGCAGAATTTACCATCTTTGAGTGGGCTGGCCGCACCCAAGCTGACATTTTGTAGGACGGAATGTTCCAGCATAACTGCATCCATTGCAATTACCACTAGCATATGCAGTCCAGTATCTTCCTATGCTTTGCCCATTAATCCATATTTGACCCTTTCCCATACCTTCCATGTCCAAAGCCAACGGCTCATCTCCTTCAGGTGCATTGAAATATGCCTGTAAAGTTTATAGATTAAGTCAAATTCTCCAAACAAATGACCCGTTTTCTTCAGCAACCTAAGTTGCACTCCCCTTGTATTTATACCTTATGCCATGTCAATGGCTGAGGTCTTTGTGCAGCTAAAGATGATTGCATCCACTCAACAGAGGTAACACTATCTGGAGAGAGAAGATTCATGGCTTCTCCTTTCAGGCCAACCTGTCGTAAAGAAAGCAGTGAGGGAATAGTTCATTAAATTAACAATAAATTGATGAGTGTTAAGCAGTCAGGAGTACTCAACCTGGTAGGTCCATTTTTGCCAAGACAAGTCCCATTTTCCCTGGTCAAGTCCATGCAGTGCAACTGGACCAAGGATACCAGTGTTCCAGGACTCATAGTGTCCACCCACATTCTTCATTGACAACAAACAAAAACATTATCAGTAACTTAATAAACAGAAGGCATCGTGTCACTGGTTCACTACCCAGATTAAAGATGAATAATATCTTAGTCACAGGGTTTTCAACATCCCAGGTAATAATCTTGAAAACTTGGCGTGGTGCATATTGATAGGAATGTGCTCTGACCTAAAGTATATAGGCTTAGGCAATTCAATAAAAAGTACAAAAAAGAACACTCATGTTTCATGATAGGCTAAGCCTTTAATAGATTTTGTTGATTGATTTTTTATGTTCCCTTAGAAGAGAGCAATATAGTGAGTGGGCAAAGGAATCCCAGCTTCAAACAAGCATTTGTCAACAGCTCTGTTAAATTTCAGCAACTGTTCATCAAATAGCCAATTTCAGCTGTTTGAACTTATATCCCGCTCATAGTCTTAACACCGTATGAACTAAAACACCAAAATATACACAAATGTAGACCAGTGAAACTAACCGGCAATCCAACAGCAACACTCAGTAATGCAATTCTGTTTGTCCCAGGGCGCAGATTGACCTTCCCAGTATAAGTAAACCTCCTGTTTTCTCTCGTCCCAAAAGCAGAACCTATATGATGCATATTTAACTTAGTAATTGCTAATCAGCTAAAAGACAATCTGTGAATGATGCAATTTATGCACATACCTGAAAGCTGTCCATTAATAAAGATATGCACAGCATGGCCTGTTGATTGAACAATGAGAGTTGGGAGTTCCCCTCCATGCAGGAAGGATTCGGATGATCCAATATCAACACTGTAAGAATACGTTGAAAAGTGCAAGGTTAATTATAACATCCAGATATGAAATGTCTACATCTTAAGGTCACTGGGGGGCACATATTGGAGGATCACAGAGGAACTTTTAATACAACCAGCTGTCTTACCTAGTCATGTACCACAGATAATCACTGGCATCCCTTGTGACATTTATCTGCTCCAAGAGACCAGCAGTTGTGAATGTTGAGCTGTCATCCAGAGAGGAAATATCCTCATCATAACTCTCCCATGAAAATATCCCATTTGTAGGCAACATTTCCATTTGAGATGTTTGAACTCCAACCTAAAAAAGGACCATCGTATTTAGTTTTCTCACACCTACTTTATGCTATATAACTGAAGATGTTTTTTTTTTGGAAGGAGGGATGGTAGATTGCCCCTCTGGAAATTGTTTATAACAAGTTAGGAGGAAATTCATTACCTTAGCAGTATTAAAGACCACATTTCTGCAGTCAGGAAGGATGCTGATGGACCAAGGAGGCAAGTTATAGTGCATGTTGTTAAACAACACCCTTGCAGCAGATTTTGTATCATAGTTTGCAAGAAAAGCTGCACAATCGCCTGATTCTGTAGAGTAAACATGAACCTGCAAATACCAAATATTGACAGAAATCAATACACGGTACCGGATAAGAGGACTTCCAGAGCGAGAGGAGACTCAGAACAGGAGG